CTCTATTGGGGCGACGCTGTTCTTACCGCTGCCCATCTTATTAATCGTCTCCCTACCCAGGTTTTGGACAAACAGGCTCCGCTTCACGTCCTCCTCGGTTCTCTGTCCTTGTTTTCTATTCCTCCCAAAATATTTGGTTGTGTCTGTTTTGTCCATAATCACTCTCCCTCTCGTGGTAAGTTGGACCCTCGCTCCCTCAAGTGTGTTTTCCTTGGTTATTCTCCTACTCAAAAGGGGTATAAATGTTACCACCCTTCTTCTCGTAAGTGGTTTGTGTCCATGGATGTTACTTTCTTTGAGTCCCAGTCCTATTTCTTGTCCTCTCCGGTGTCATCGTCCTCATTTCCGGGGGAGCCTTGGTGTGAAGTGAGTCCTGTGCCTCCTATGGTAGAACCAGTTATTCTTTCACCCCCCTCTTCTACTGGAACTCCCTCTTCTACTGGAACTATAGAACCCACTGTCACCAAGAATACGGACGGGCATGTTTATGTCCGGGACATCGACAGAAAACAAGTTAACTGGATACATGGGACCGTTTCTGCTACTCCACTGCCATCTCCTGCTTCTGATGAGAGTCTAGGTAACTTTGAATCTCGTGAGTCCATTGATCTTGATGTTCCTATTGCCAAAAGGAAGGGTGTGAGATCTTGTACTCAACGTCCTATCTCACATTTTGTATCATACTCTCATTTGTCATCCTCATATAGAGCATTTGTGTCCAATATTTCCTCTGTTAGCATTCCTAACCATTTTCAGGATGCTCTTGCTATCTCTGAGTGGAAACTCGCCATGATTGAGGAAATGAAAGCACTTAGGAAGAATGGCACTTGGGAATTGACTGAGTTACCTACGGGCAAACGACCTGTGGGCTGTAAATGGGTATATACTGTGAAACACAAAGCAGATGGGTCTATTGAGCGTTACAAGGCAAGACTTGTGGCAAAAGGGTTTACTCAGACATATGGCATTGATTATCAGGAGACCTTCGCACCCGTGGCTAAAATGAATTCAGTCAGAGTACTTCTCTCTCTAGCAGCTAATCTCGA